ATTGTTACATTACCAAGGGTGTCTGATTGCATAGATATATTGGATGATATGCTTCTTATTGTTACATTACCTAGGGTGTCTGATAGCTTAGATATTTTGGATGATAAGCTTCTTATTGTTACATTACCTAGGGTGTCTGATAGCATAGATATATTGGCTGATAAGCTTCTTATTGTTACATTACCTAGGGTGTCTGATTGCATAGATATATTGGATGATAAGCTTCTTATTGTTACATTACCTAGGGTGTCTGATAGCATGGATATATTGAATCATAAGCTTCTTATTGTTACATTACCTAGGGTGTCTGATACATATATAAATTGAATCATAAGCTTCTTATTGTTACATTACCTAGGGTGTCTGATACATATATAAATTGAATCATAAGCTTCTTATTGTTACATTACCTAGGGTGTCTGATAGCATAGATATATTGGATGATAAGCTTCTTATTGTTTCATTACCTAAGGTGTCTGATAGCATAGATATATTGAATGATAAGCTTCTTATTGTTACATTACCTAGGGTGTCTGATAGCATAGATATATTGGATGATATGATTCTTATTGTTACATTACCTAGGCTGTCTGATAGCATAGATATATTGGATGATAAGCTTCTTATTGTTTCATTACCTAAGGTGTCTGATAGCATTGATATATTGAATGATAAGCTTCTTATTGTTACATTACCTAGGGTGTCTCATAGCATAGATATATTGGATGATATGATTCTTATTGTTACATTACCTAGGCTGTCTGATAGCATAGATATATTGGATCATAAGCTTCTTATTGTTACATTACCTAGGGTGTCTGATAGTTTAGATATATTGGATGATATGATTCTTATTGTTACATTACCTAGGGTGTCTGATAGCATAGATATATTGAATCATAAGCTTCTTATTGTTACATTACCTAGGGTGTCTGATACATATATATATATTGAATCATAAGCTTCTTATTTTTACATTACCTAGGGTGTCTGATAGCATAGATATATTGAATCATTAGCTTCTTATTGTTACATTACCTAGGGTGTCTGATAGCATAGATATATTGGATGATAAGCTTCTTATTGTTACATTACCTAGGGTGTCTGATAGCATAGATATATTGGATGATAAGCTTCTTATTGTTACATTACCTAGGGTGTCTGATAGCATAGATATCCTGTCATTTTCTAGGTATGTCGGCGTGGCAGAGCCCATATATTCAAGTACCTTAGCCAGCAAGCTGTTAAAGATGACAGAAAACGTGGTGTTCTTGAACAACAAGATATTAAAATTAGGTATCGCAGGTCATTACAAAATAGGTATGTATTATTCTACACTTCCAGTTAGACTTGCATACAGTCTCTTGTTTGTTTTTTTGCTGTTATTTTAATAAAATAAGTATTATGGGAGTGTATAAATGGTGAAACCTGCTTTACTGCGATACCTTGGTTATCGCAAAACAAACAAGAGACTTGACTTTGACTGATTTTATTGAAAGTAATTACTTTTGCACGTACAATTGTTTTCCACTTTGATGACAGCTATATGTTGTTATTCTAAGAAAATCTCAAAGCGTATTATACTTAAAATAGTGGGTAAAATTAATGTGATGGCTAAATTTGCATATATTTTAATATTTTAATTAATAAATCGCAGTATGAAATAATTTTGGAACATCTTTAGATGCTTACCATTCATCTAAATTAGCTCTAAGTGACATTGCTCTTTTGATTTAAAATCTGATAGAAAAACAATCAATTAATGGTTAATTTTTCTGGCAATATTATGCCTAGACTTTAGAAAAATAGTATGCCTAGCCTTTAGAAAAATAGTATGCCTAGACTTTAGAAAAATAGTATGCCTAGACTTTAGGAAAATAGCATGCCTAGACTTTAGAAAAATAGCATGCCTAGACTTTAGAAAAATAGTATGCCTAGATTTTTAGAAAAATAGTATGCCTAGATTTTTAGAAAAATAGTATGCCTAGATTTTTAGAAAAATAGTATGCCTAGCCTTTAGAAAAATAGTATGCCTAGACTTTAGAAAAATAGTATGCCTAGACTTTAGAAAATAGTATGCCTAGACTTTAGAAAAATAGTATGCCTAGATTTTTAGAAAAATAGTATTCCTAGACTTTAGAAAAATAGTATGCCTAGATTTTTAGAAAAATAGTATGCCTAGACTTTAGAAAAATAGTATGCCTAGATTTTTAGAAAAATAGTATGCCTAGACTTTAGAAAAATAATATGCCTAGACTTTAGAAAAATAGTATGCCTAGACTTTAGAAAAATAGTATGCCTAGATTTTTAGAAAAATAGTATGCCTTGATTTTTAGAAAAATAGTATGCCTAGCCTTTAGAAAAATAGTATGCCTAGACTTTAGAAAAATAGTATGCCTAGATTTTTAGAAAAATAGTATGCCTAGATTTTTAGAAAAATAGTATGCCTAGCCTTTAGAAAAATAGTATGCCTAGACTTTAGAAAAATAGTATGCCTAGACTTTAGAAAAATAGTATGCCTAGACATACTAAATCTTGTATACCAGTAGTAGTGATATTAACTTATTATTGCTTAGCCATACTAATGCAAACAGCTTTTTATTCAGAGCGTCTTGGTTCATGGCTCAGACTGGCTCAACAAACTTGAACAATGAAATGTCTCCGTCCATGCCACACCTGCTGCATGAAACAGCATCACCAACAACAGAAACTCCATCATTATTGCCAAATAGATATTCCATAGTGTTAACGCCTTCCACACAAACAGTGCATTATACAAAGGGGTTGATGTCTCCAACCACACCACCTAGGTATGACACTGCCTAACAATAGTTGTTATTTGTGGTATATTGTTGGTGGATAGTGTTATCATTTCAATATTAAATTTCTTTAAATTAGTGTGTTGTTTTTTTGTTGCATGTTTGTAATGGATAACAGTGTCTCAGTGATTTTAGGGAGTTGCCGTGGTTGCATGATTTGTGACTTATTTTTCCAACCAGAAATCACCAATAAACATCTTTGTCATCTGATCTACAAACTAGAAATTATGTGTTTGAGATTCTGCATTAATGCTATACATCTACATACACCTGGCCACTTTCAGAAAAAGATATTTTCAACACTGACAGAAACAAAGGCTGATGATGAAGTCAGCTAAAGTATGCCAGAACTCAGACTAGTAATACAACAGACTCGCAACACGGCGTTTTCTTTTGAAGTAGTGCGTGCCACGTTTGTTAAGGTTATCAGTTCTTATCGTACCGAGTAAACGTTGCTGAGCAACAAGATTTTCATTAGATCTCACAAAATAACGCAAGATCTATTCATATTACAATCAACTATCGCGATGCATCGTGAGACATAAAGACATGAAGTGGCATAGACGACAGTAGTTGTCAGTGAACTTCGAAAATGGCATTTACGGAAAAATTTGGCGAATCTGAGGACGATAATTACAAGTGGGAAGCTATTTATGAGAACATTTTGACGAAGATAATGACAATTTCTCTGAAGAACGTGTTTTTCATTTCCTGAAACTAAGAATAAAAAGAAATATACTGGGCTATTTTTATACAAAACTATGATGGAAGTCAAACAAAATCAGTGAAACTCGAAATAGCAACAATACTGACACACAATAGAAAATTGAAACAGTCACTGAACAACACGTAGATCGCATACTATGAAGTAGAACATAGAACGCGACAAAAATAACACACCTCTAGTTTTTATCGTTACCGGATCACGCTGATACACTGAGAGATATCATGTACATGACACTAGCTATCTCATGTTTCGGCATCCCGGAACACGAAAACAAAACGGGTAACACACAAAGAAGTATGATTGTTCAAAACGCAGCGATATGCTCTCTCCGAAAAAATATTGGAAACCTTCCACAAAATCAGCAACAGCGAGAAATATCGTTTCAAAGTTGCTCATTATATATTTAAAAACTATTTGAGGTAAACACTAAGACATTCAGTTACTTGTAACTCCCCTGATTCTTGGTCGATTCTTAAAATTCTTACACAGCTGCAAAGATCAAAATGTCCAGAACGCATCTCCCGTTTTTTAAAAAATATCCAGATCCGTTTTACGAAGAAATACGCAATTTCCGAAGAAGCACGAAGTGTGCAGAATATCCGTTTTCGGTAAACTTCAACGGTGTCTTTGCCAATGCTACAGAGCGTGGCACACATGGCATATACAATTAAGCCGATAGACGTTGCGAGTCTGTTGTATTACTAGTCTGAGACCAGAAGCATTGAATATATATTCTGAAAGGTGACTTGAATGAAAGTCATAGGAATTAAACAAATAAAAACAAAAGCTGGAAGGATGAGGTAAAATAGTGAAAAGATTGATTCCGACTTTAAAAAAATCTCCTTTGTATTCAGAATATTTAAAAAAAAAAATGTTCAAATCCTAGATGAGACACTGAGGTATCCGCATGCTTCTTGCTAGTATATTTTATGGGCTGTAACACTCTATTTCCATGCTCATTATTTCCATACACAAGTTTTTGCAGTTTTTTTTTTTATTTTTTTAAATCAGCAAATGTACATTACCATTCATTCATGATTTGCATGTCCCCTTCTATCTCATAGTGAAATATGATTCTGTATTTCAATAGTTAATTAAGGGAAGTAATATATTACATTTTAAATGTTTCCCATACAAATGTTACACTGTTTATGTCCATTGACCGACAACTGCATATATTCTATGTTATTCATTGTTATCCCTGTGTACCTTGAATAATGAACCAATAAAACAACAATGTGACATTTAGCCTCGTGAATTGGGCCCTCTGCAGTGCTCCAAACTCAACACACACTTGTCAGAATGATGTAGTTTTTTACCCCCCCCCCCCACAGTTTTTGTTGGTACCAATCAAATTGCAGGAACTTCAGATAGTGACAGATAGTTTTGGTGCTTGTGGACAGTAAAAATGGCATGTTTTTCAAGACAGTGACTCTTGCTACAGTCGCATGCTGTTCACATCTGTAAACACAAGTTTTACTTGCTTATAATTTCATGATTGATGGTGTTACCATGACGACCAAAATGAATATTCATTGAACTCATTGCAAGAAGGCATGAACTTTGCGAATTCGCCGTATTGATCTTGCCGACGAGACATACACTATTCTGTCAGGTGTTAGTGGGGTTTGATACCGTTCAGCTGACAAGGGTGCCACTCACGTCTACATGTGGCAGTTTGTAGAAAATTACCACCACCCTACATCTTACTCACATTCATAAGTCATTGCATTAATCACTAGTACATCTTACTTACATTCATAAGTCATTGCATTAATCACTAGTACATCTTACTCACATTCATAAGTCATCGCATTAATCACTAGTACATCTTACTCACATTCATAAGTCATTGCATTAATCACTAGTACATCTTACATTCATAAGTCATTGTATTAATCACTTGTACATCTTACTCACATTCATAAGTCATTGCATTAATCACTAGTACATCTTACTCACATTCATAAGTCATTGCATTATCACTAGTACATCTTACTCACATTCATAAGTCATTGCATTATCACTAGTACTGTACAATCTGTATTAGAAACCGCGGCTTCTATTAAAATGGTACAATACAACAGAGGGGCTGCGCCTTCTATTAGAGCATCTACACATATGAGAAATGATGAATTTTTGGTTCTAAACTGTTCAAAAAGAATGGGTGCGACTTATATTAGGGATGCGGCTTCTAATACAGATTTTACGGTACATCTTACTCACATTCATAAGTCATTGCATTAATCACTAGTACATCTTACATTCATAAGTCATTGTATTAATCACTTGTACATCTTACTCACATTCATAAGTCATTGCATTAATCACTAGTACATCTTACTCACATTCATAAGTCATTGCA